GCGGGGGATGAGGGAGGAGTGTCGGCGGATAGTGGGGGGTTTGACGGGAGATAAATCCTCTGAGCGGTCGAGGGAGGCGAGGTGGGGGGGAAGGGAGTCGTCGAGGAGGTGGGCGATGACGTGTTCTGTTGAGTCGTGGTACTCGTCTAGGAGTTTGGAGATGAAACCTGAGCCGAGTTCTGGGAAGAGGTCCTGGACTTGGGAGATGGAGGATAGCCGATGGATGTGGATTTCTTGGTGTTGGCCTTCGGGTAAGGCGAGGGATTTGCCTTTGTCGATTTTGCGCTTGATGAGGCGTTTTGGTTTGGGGGGGAACAAAGTGGAGGAGGTGGGCTTTTTGAAGGCGGCGAGGGAGGAGAGGACGGTTGTGGTGCGGGTTGAGACATTGGGATCGAGCTTCCGGGAGAGTTGTGTGAGTAAAGGGGTGGAGGTGACCAACTCGGCGACGAGGGAGTCGTTCACGTTCAAAGGGCCGGATTTGTGAGTGTTGGCGGCGGATTTGAGGGAATAGAGGTGGTCGGTTAGGGGGCCGACTTTTTGGGCGTCGGCGAGGCCGATGAGGCAGACGTAAAGGGTTGAGATGAGTGAGCGGCGGAGCGGTGGGTTGGTAATCTTATAGCAGGATATGAGACCGTCGAGGAAGTCACTTCCTGCGAGGAAATACTCGGCCACAAATGGGGAGGCGTGGATGAGGTTGTTGACTTGTTCGAGGCGGGATTGGATGCCGTTGAGGTCCCCGCCACTTAGGCCGGCATCGAGATTCTTGATGAGGAACTTTTTCAGACCGGCGAGTGATGTTTCCAGATAAGACCCTGAAGCTTCCGATAGAGTATCAAGAAGGATAGTGGTTTTCTTCTTTCCATACACCGTGCTAACATCCGACAAGAAATCCCATTGCGTCAAGCTGCTTGGTGGTGCTGATGACTGAAGCAGTTTCGTGATGAGCTGATAGGTGCCCCTGAGGAGTCTCTTAGCTGCAGGCGATGGCCCAAGAATCCCAACTCCATTTTGTGCCGTTTCCCGTGTAAAAGATGTCAGGAAGCTTGGTAAACTCTCATCTTTAACTGAAACTGAGTTGAAGTCGGCATCTGAAAGGGACAAGTGGCTATCAATGAGCGCTACCCAGGCATCGAGACAAGCAGCCCACTCATCAACCGGTAGCTGGTCACGCCAAGCGGTGAGAGGAAAGAGTGCAAAAGCTGGAAGTCGTGAGGCCATTTTTGGGGTCGGTCGTTGCAGAAGCTGAATATGGAAGTGTCCTAGTCTAAGTGAGGGTGACAGGGAAGTGTGTGCCAAGAGTTGAAGGTGAGAGAAGGCTTGATGCCAAAAGCCAAACAGGCAAGGTGACTTCCAGCAACAACTCAGGTTCTTGGAAGCAATGAGAAACTCAGAGATTGTGATGTCGTCCAATGCTCATCCAAAGACCGTCCAGCGACCTTCTATTTATGCATCCAACTTAATGTCGCTGTCTACGCCCCTTACAAACAGCAATTGCCCCTCCAAAGCTCAACCACCCAGACGCCGAATGTGTCATTGACCGAGGGGCAAGCCACGGATGGCCCCACCATAACCGAGCTGGCAGCACTAGCCACTTCCGTCCCAGCAATCACCAGCCACAGTCGCAAACTGGCCCGTGCGTGCCCTGCAACCCCCACCAGAGCTCAATCCACCAAAATTACCCAAAATTCCCGTCAAAAAGAAAAGCTCGTGAAGTTTTCTCTTCCGCATCGCCAATCCAGCCGTAATCGCCTTCATCACGTTACCGAAACGGTATGTTCTCTCGCCTTCTCCCTGTCTACTCGGCAGAAAGATATTCCTTTTTCGCAGGAGCATTCCCACTAACCTTCTTTTTCCCCGTCTCTCTAGCACCGCCGTTCGAGTCTTGAGGGCACCTTCCAACCAAACCTTTCTTCCATAGCCAACCTCAACCCACCCAAACCAAACACCGCCAAGATGTCCGGCTACAACAAGGAGAAGGAGTTCGGCGAGGCCCCCAAGGTCCACAAGATCAGAATCACTCTGTCTTCCCGCAAGGTTCAGGCCCTCGAGAAGGTCTGCTCTGAGCTCCTTGAGCGCGTACGTACCCTCCACAGGATCGACATTTGGTTGCGTAGCAGTCTCTAACAAAACTCCCGAATACAGGCCAAGTCCAAGGACCTCAAGGCCAAGGGCCCCGTCCGTCTCCCCACCAAGACCCTCAAGATCATGACCCGCAAGACCCCTTGCGGTGAGGGTTCAAAGACCTGGGATCTCTACGAGATGCGCATCCACAAGCGCCTCATCGACTTGACCGCCCCCACCGAGGTCGTCAAGCAGATCATCATCAACATCGAGGCTGGTGTCGAGGTCGAGGTTACCATTGCTGCTTAAATGCAGTATAATGGGGACAGCTAGAACCTACGGCTGGAGGAAGAAACAAAAAAATACAAATGTCTGGGAGGTCCTCCTTGAAACAGGAGACTGCGGTAGTCTTGAATTGACGAACGAATTCCCAGGCGACAAACACTGAACGGTTGCCATGTGACGTGAAGATGATGCCCAAAATCGCTATGCATATTTTCCCTACGGCATGATGTCCAAGACGTCCTACTTCTTCCTCTGCTTCACCATATCCCTCTCCAACTGCCAAATCCTACCCCTCTCCTCGGTCGAGTCTACCGGCCATGGCTTCCCCTTGTTTAACCTCCTCACCAACTCTGTCTCCTTGGCTCTGTACACCTGCGGTGTAATATACGTCCCCTTCAGCCACCTGCTCCCAGTAGAAGTCTCAAACTCCCTCCTCCCGTGCAGCACCCTCGAGTTGTCAAAGATTACGCACTCCCCTGGCTTCATCTTGACCTCGTACATATTCTCCTCCTTTTCCAGCAACCTCTGAAACTTCTCCGCTGCGTCCCTCCACCTCCGCAACCGGTTGTTCTTATCCTTGGCTGGAAAGCTCGTTTGGAACGGCGGCGCCCAGTGGGTGATGAACGGTGCGCCGGTGTTGGGATCTGCTTCTATCGTCTTGCGGGTGGCGTAGTAGTGGTGTCCTCCCTTGTCGTAGCCAAAGTGAACGTCGGTTTTGGTCAGGATGTCGTAGGCCTCGGGGTCGGTGTTTAAGAGTTGGAGTGCGGCGTGGACGCCATCACTGAAAAGGGACTCGCCCCCTTCGCAACTGTTGGCTAGGCAGTGGAGGAGTTGCAAGCGGGGGATAGGATCGTGGTACATGAGGTCTTGGTGAAGACCCAAAAAGACGTTGGTGTAAGCTACGTTCTCGGCGCGTGGTTTTGACTTGACGTCCCAGGTCCAGCCGTAAAAGGTGTACTGCAGTGGACCGATGCGGTTGGCGATGTTGATGACGGAGTGTTCTTCTTGTGGGACGTTCTTGAGGAAGATTAGCCCTGTCTTGGTGAATTGCTCAAAGGCAGTCCAGAAGGCTTCATCGTTGTTGCGCCAGTCGTTGTAGTCGATGTGACAGGCCCCGGAGCGGACTAGGTCGGTGTAGGAGGCGTTGTCCCAGAGGGTTCGGGGGATGGGTGGTTGGAGCTGGATGCGGGGGTTGTTGTTGTGGTACAAGAGGTTGAGCTCGCCGGCGGAGAGGACGGTGCGGTGGGACTCGCCGTTGCTGATGGGGTCGTTTTCCCAGATGATCTCGAGGGAGCCGTCGTTACGGACGCGGACGTTGTCGCGGCTTGTGGCTGGGACTTCGGGCAGGTCGGTGGTGGAAAAGGTCTTTTGGCCGGAATCTGGATCCAAGCACTTGGGGCAGTTACAAGAATCGCGCAGCCAGAGACGGGAGAGGATCATGAGCTTGGTGTCTTCGGCCTCGGGGGCAGGAATCAGCTTGACCCATTGTGCGTCCAACTTGGCGTCGCTGAACAAGGGGGCGTCCTGGCTGATGCATTCTCTTTCTCCTAGAGTGGGCTCGATCGTGTTGGGGATGCCTCCTTTTGTCGCGACAAGTTGTTCCCTCTCTTCCTGCAACTTGGCAACCAACTCCTTCAAATCCTCCACCTCTTTTCGCAGCGCCGTGTCATTCTCAGTTGCCTTCAGTGTTGGTGAAGTATTATAGGGGCCCGTCAATTGGCTCTGATTCCCTGTCAACCGGAGCCTCTGCTTGGTATTCGTGGATACGTGGAAGCGTCGAGCGTAGTGCGGCTGAGCGGCGGGAAATGTGAGCGTTCGGCTGGGAGTTGCGCAAACACGTGGGGTCGTCAGAGCACCCCTGGCCGGTCGGAGCGCGACGGGGAGGGAAATGCGCGCCGGGAGTGTCATGGTGAGCGCGTAGGGTATCGGTGGGAAGAATGGCTTCAGATGGATCGGGACATGTCGAGGAAGGATACTATATGAAATCGAACCACACCGGGGTCAGGCGCGTGGATTTGAAGTGCCGGGAGGTGGCCGAACCTCGGTCATGAGGGTCTCTTTGAAGAGGCATCGTTCGGTTGTTGCGACAGACCCACTTCTGATAAGATCGTGAGCGCCATTTTGCGGGGTGTTGTGCGTCGTTTGGCGGCTTGTCCTTTGGCCCGATGGTAACCACCCCTCTTCTGTTGCAGGTGGTGAGATTCTAGCTTGGGATTCAGCTGACAGTTCAAGTAGGATATGATCTGTCGTTCCATGATGGTGTAGTAGTGCGTCCAGGGAGACCACAGGCAGTAAACAACCCTAACCCACAGACATCAACAGCTGCTCATGAGGCACAACTGACGTCATCCCTTCACCCCACCATCATGAGGCTTCTCAACCCCAGGCCCCTTATTTCTTAAACTATTCTGCTGAAAAAGCTTTCCTGTCGCAATCTTTCTTTCACACGATTTTCCACTACAGAACACTTACCAACATTCTCGCTCAGTATGGATGCCAATAATCCCCTGTCAGACCGCGAGAAGGCGCTGGAGAACGAGTACATTCGCAAGAAGGAGTAGGTTTTAAATTTCAATACCGGTTCATTTGCTTGCAGTCGACTTGCTAACTGCGGACTCAGGATTCAGATGGCCAAAGAGAGAGCCGCTAAACAACAAGCTGCTTCTGGGCGTCGCAGTCCCATCACACAAGGGTCGCAAGATGTAAATAAGGACAAATAAGCAGGGCGCATAATTACAACCTAATACAATCATTTTATGTACACTCTCTTCTTCTCCCCGTCATACTGCCGAGTGTGCTCGTGAAGATGGCCACGACAATGGCTGCTGGGAGTTCATCGAGTCTGCAGTCTCCTTACTGTTCTGCTTCTCGACATGATTGTCGTGCAGCTCCTTGAACAGCACTCGCAACACAGGAATGCAGCTCGCCATGATGGTTGTTCCTATCTCAGCCGACGTCCAGATCAACAGGAGGCAGCCCTCGTCTATCGTTTATGAGCGTTAACCTCGATGATAACGGATACGTGGTACTCACAGGTAAAGTTCTTCGACCCCAACAACACCAACTTGGACGACTTGATAAAAGCCCAGACTCCAGCCCTGTTCAACACATGGTCAGACAAATCTTCATAGGAGATCTCAACCGGAATATCACTTACACAGCCCCCATACTCATCCCCACCACAACACCTAACATTCTCCTTCTTCCTCATCTGCAACCCCCAAACCAACCTCCACGGCAACTAGCACCAGCACAATATCACACACCCCAGCACCAGCACAATATCACACACCCCGCTGTACACCCCGCAGAAAACCCCATAGTAATTCGTGGCATGCACATCCCAGCAGGTTCCCTCATTACTAAGATCCCAGTTCTTACTGATTGGGTTACACTTCACCCAGACGACCACCGCCTGGACAATCATGAGCGTGTTCATACTAACCAGCACAAACCAAGCAATGTTCCGAAGGACGCTACCGGAAGGTGACAATCGGAGGATGGTTATGGCGAATGACGTCTTGGACCACACAATGGTGAGGATGGTGATGCAAGACCCAAGAGTGGCGCCCACGAAGGCGATGGTGGGGTGGTGGGAGGGGGGGATGTCACAGGGGTAGCGGCCGAAGCCGAGGTTGGTGACTAGTTGGCAGATGACGGCGCAGGCTATGAACATGAGCCAGCTGAAGATGAGGACGTAGTCGTCCCACCAGAGGCCGCGGGAGCGCCATTTCTTGCAGTAGATGCGGAGGAACAGGAATACGGTTGAGAAGGCGAGGAAGGACCAGATGGTGCGGGAGACGGTGGGGCCGCCGTCGGGGATGGGGTATTCTGGAGGGAGGAGACCGAGGGCTTTGAGATCGCAGTATTCGGTTGAGGAGGAGTCTGGGGGCTTGGTTGAGGGGCTGGGGGTGGTGTGTCGTGGTAGGAGGAACTGTGGGATGAAGTTCTGGGAAATCATTGTGAAGAGCCCAGGTCTAAAGGACTAATCCTCTGTTGTAAGTGATGTAAAGGCAGTTTGAAGGATCTTAGAAGATCCAGGGTCTTGACAAGGCCATGACAAGGAAGGTAAGCAGGAAGGAATCCCTGATCCTCTTGGCAAGGCAAAACGGTGTCTTTATAAAGTCGCCATCTCTATGAGGAGTACTGACTGGAAACACAAAACTCAGCCTGGGAAGCAGATATGTGGCTCGGCAGCGGCCCGGACCAGACCTTCACGACACCAATGACCAGAAAGGTTGCCCCTAGACGCAGGGATAATCGGTACCGAAGCACGACAGCCATGTGCTCGGGGGGCCAATGTGTGGAGGTGAAACATGCAGTTGGCTTTCTACACGTCCATCTTTCCCTGGTGTAATCACCGCTGTGAGGCCTAGGGGGGGTGGGTTGGGTGTAGGTCTCATTGGCTGATATTTTTTGGTGATGGACAGAGCAGTTAGTTCCCCTCCGGGTTATGGGCAGTCGTGGGTCCGAATGCACCGGACTTGTGATATCTCCATTGGTGTGGAAATCCTCTTGAGCTGTTCGTAGCTGCGCCGCTCGGTAGATGGGTTGATCATACCTCAAACTCGACTAGAATATAAGCACTTGTGATGATACTCCTGCCTTCGGCTCCGAGAAACGAGGAGAGTCCATTCTGGGATCACAGTACACATCTTCAACCCCAGAAGAGATGCCGAAGTGATGTTACTTTCAACAGGGTGAGTGACGCCAAAACCAGGCCCCTGAGACGAGGCGACCATGGACACAACATGTCTAGCCTCGATGAAAATAGGGGCATCGTTGGATACAACAGTGTAACTGAACTGGATCAAAGTCCCACAGAATTGCTGCATGTCATCATCTTTCAACATGCCGTGCTCGGGTACACAAGCAAAGCCACTCGACACAATTTGATTTGCGGGGCATGCCGAATGGACTTGCGCCGTGCAAGTGCCGAAGAAACAGGTCCAACGACTGAAGCCACTCAGCTGTCTGTGTAACATGGCGCTGATCACCGCAGAACTATGAAGCCGGATCCCCCGACTACTTACTTCCAGTAGAGATAGGGTTCCAATTCATGAGTTTTCAGAATGATCGTGTTGAGGCCTCACTTAACTCATAGA